TATAACATTAATCTTGTTTAGTAGTTAGACAAAAAAATTTACTATGCCACTAATGTAATTAATTAGAATTTATAATTAATAAATAAATGTTAATAGAGAGAGACGACATACTAATTGTAAGTAATATATAAAACAAGGTTTCTAATGAAGATTTCTCATTATACAAAACTATGAACTTACCTTGGGACATCGGTGAAACCATATGCAAGATAACGCTCATCGCACCAGCACTATAACCCATGATTGTGACACAATCTGGGTCCCCTCCAAAAGCTTCGATGTTTTGTTTCACCCATTTCAATGCCTGGACTTGATCTTTCAAGCCGTTATTCCCTGGGGCTTCTTTGTCGCCGGTACTCAAGAAACCTAATATGTTAAATACACATACCCTTTAATACATCGGTATCTACATTTTTTAAATAATATTTTTCGTCACGTGAAAGAAGATATTAGTTAAAGACAATATTATAAGAATGATATTACCTAAAGTTCCCAAGCGGTAATTGATAGTCACTAAGACGATGTCTTGGTCCATAAAATAATTGGGTCCAGCCCAATAACTGGTAGAACCGACACTGTAAAACCCTCCAGCGTGTATGTAGACTATTACAGAGCGTTTCGGATTTTCAGCACTCTTCGGAAGCTGTAAAAGTTGTAACAATGTTTACTATAACGCCTCCGAAGGTTCATGTTAAATACTAACCTTGGTGGAATAAACATTTAATATTAAACAGTCTTCTGATACAGGATCCGTGGTAGGTTGTGGACAAAGTGGACCATCTTCAGTGGCATTATAGACGCCCTCCCATTTCTCTACCGGCTCTGGAGGCTAAGAATAATAAATAAAATTGAAATTGAATTCATTTTTCCAATCTAAAAATGACCAGACAATACAAGAAGGCCTACCCACTTGGATGCTCATAATGAAAAAGGAACGTAATACTGGTTTTTGAAAACAGAGTATCAAATTCCTCACAACACTTTTTTTATTTATGGTTAATTATTTGACTACCAGTTTCTGGGTCTATCTTAGGCACCCTAGGGTTACTTAAGGCTAGTAGTTGATTCAAACCTGCCCGCTCTAGAGCTTGATCTCATAATCTTAAGATTGTAACACCCCAAGTAAACGCACCCTTAGCGCCTTAGCGTTGAGTGGGAAGACTTCACGCCCTTGGTCTATTTATGAGCAAATTCAATTTGCAATCAGATAATACTCATTACAAGCAGACAGTGAATGGTATATGTACATATTAAATGATCTCACCTTAAATCTCAGCTCATTTACTGGCGCTTTCGCGTAGCGTATGCCCCTAAATGCGTATATAGGTTTGCCTAGCCTTGAAGTCATAACCGTACCCTTTATTTGACCTAAAGGGGTAGTTACTAAGGGGTTTTCAGTCGTACTCCTTCTCGACCTTTCGCTGGCTTCAGGAAAAGCCAGAGCATAACCCAGAAAAACGATTACAGCTACGTGTCTGAACATTCTGGAATATATTTATTATTATTAGTTAGAGACAGCACTGTATACTATTTTACCATTTCCAGGGCTAGATTAAAATAATGGCTATGGCACACGATTTTATAAGATTGAAAACTGAAACTAACATTATTTTTATTTTGTACTATAGTTACGAAAATACGAAAATGTTTAATATCCCTAAAAGAGAAAAATCTGTATTTTTGATAATCTAATGATTGTGCAATAATATAAAATACCTACATAATTCCTCAGTGCAATATACAAAAAAATATATCAGTCTAAATTAAGTACTTCCGATAATCCATCAAAGTCAGCGTTTGGAATAGAATTTCGGAATTATCTAATAAAATTACAGAATAAGTCCAAAAAAATGTAATTAATTAAATACGAACGATTCTTACAAAAGATTCCTCAAGTGGTTAATATAACAATGTATTTTCTTCTAAAAAAAAAAACTATACAGTTATATAACACCATATATATGAATTATACGTGTTGCTTATAAAACAACCTGAAAAAAAAAATAAAATCAAAGGCTCTTCTGGCTGACTATTTACCAATCTTCTTAATAAAGAGAGTTTTAAATTTATTAATTAAACATTTTAGGCCACACTTATATACTTATAGGTTTTTCAAAGATATTGGAATGTGGAGTTTTAGAAAATTTATTATACTCTCTTAATGAGCCTAAAGTTTTCTTTCTAAAAGTGTTTCTCTTAATTACAGTGGCATTAAATCTATAGAAACTATGTATTCAGAAATAACAGAAATCAGTATAGGTGTTCAGTAAAGATCTACCTAGATAATTAGGTCCAGTAGGTACTGTTTTTGTTATAGTGAATGACATGAATATTTATTCGATATTCGTTCAATTTTTTGTTAACGCTGATAACGTCTATAACAATGTCAAGTAAAAGTGACGAATTGTTAAAACCAATATGTAGTAATGTAATAAATAACTTAAGGATATGGTTTCAAACAAAGAAAATATTTGCAATGGGGTTTTATAACAAACTGAAATTATGTAATAGTATTAACATACATCCAAATACATAATGGAGAACTTGTAAAAATTTAATTTCCAGAGTAAATTCCATAATAGGTACCTACTTAAAAATATCAAAATTTGTAGCATTAACAACTGCTTAATTTATATTATGCAAAGTTGAATCACGGATCCGATACGAATTATGTTTTTGCGGTAATACTACCATGTCAGATCAAAAACAAAAATGCACCCCTTTCTCTAAAATGCACTCTTAAATTTAATAGCATTTTGCGATGTTATTATCTTTAGGCGCTGAGTGAATGAGTGAAGAGTTGAACAACAAACGGACGAAACAATAAAAACCCTTTGGCGCAATTGTTCCTTGACTTTCTCTCTTTTTGTACATTACATTGTCAATCACCTAATATATTTTAGGTCAACTAGATGTATATTTAGATTATCGGTCACGACCCACATAATTATATAAAAACCTAACGACTATACAGACTTTCAAGAAAAACCTGAAAACTTATCAAAAAGACCAATGTTTTTAAGATTTTAAGACAAATAATTTCATATACAATAATTTTAAACTTAATTGTATTGTTTAGGTGTACATATGAATTAATTTACTATTTATTGATTTATGTTCTGTATTTACTTTGTTTTGACTAATCTTATATAATAGTTATGTAATGCATTGTCTAAAAAGATAATAAAGGTTTATTCACTTACACTATTATTATTTATTATTAATTTTTTACACAAAACATGACTGCATTACGCAAACATAAGTGCACTACTAGACAAAGCGTTTTTTTCGCGACTTGTTTATATAGATACATTGAGAGAGACCTCTAACAAACTAAACTGTAACTACATATGTTTTTATTTATTTAAATTGAATAATTTACGTAATTTACGGAGCGTTGTTCAAGTCCTAAACGGTATTCCCTGTAGCAGTGGAAAGTTTACGTTTCTGTTTTTAAAATGAATCGAAAAAAGAAAAAACAATATTCTCGATATATATTTTTTTAATGTTATTATTTGAGACATCCGAAATACAGACGTTATGTTATAGCTAATACAAACCAAGTCTAAACGTTTTCCTGAAATTTAAAATTATTGTTTTATAGTGATAGAAAAATGTTTGTCATTTATTGTTCGTTAGATTTCTTTTTCTGAAGATAAAGTTTGTTATATTCATTTTAACCAGATTTCAATTGATCGTTTCGCAGGTATATACATAATGTGCTATTACATTCTGTCTGATTTGCATTTTTCAAATTTCACTGAATATATACGTATATACAATACACATATACCTACCTGTGATAACAAAATAACGTCTTCTGAAAAATACTTGGATGTAATCGCAAACTTTTCCATGAAATGTTAATACCTACCTACCAATCATAATGATAACAATAATTAAGTACACTTAGTAGCCGGTCGAACCTTATCGTATTATGTTAAGAAAACCTCATTCGCCATGATAAAGAATTAATTAATGTACCTATTTAAAAAGGTTTTTCCAGATCGTTCTCCTTAATTTATCAACATTCAAGTAATTTTTAAATGTTCTCGACAACCTACTTATTCTAAATCCATGTCATTGTCATATGATTCACTCGGGCACTTGTTGGGTAGTCTTGTAAATTTCCTAATTGGTGATAAATTGCCAAATTGGAAGATTAGCCTTTGTGTACATAAATATAGCAATTTATGATTTATATTGGCATTGTCCCCTTGTACACTTAAATTCTGGAAGGGTCTTTCATAATATGTTTATTTAAACTTTACTTACTCATATTAGATGGACATCCGGCAGGGCCAAACAGTTTTTGATATTTGCGAGGATATTCAACTTGAAAACAAAGGTAGCTGATAATACACTGTTACGTTTAATGAATTTAAGAATACAAACATTATGATTAAGAATAATTTATTTCTAGTAGGTAGAATACGAAAATTTTAATGAGAATAAATAATTTTTATTGTATGTTCCTAATGCAAGACTTTGTTTAATTCAAAAATTTGGGTTAGTTGAGTTACTTTCATTTGTTATTTTTTGTAGGTTATTTCACTTTGAAGACGCAAATGCAAGTATAAATAACCCATTTTACATACTATATAACAATAAGTATAAAAATATTTGTATACATATACTGGACAATTTATCATTTTAAAAATTAACCCATGTTTCGAACNCTGGCTTCTGGCTGACTATTTACCAATCTTCTTAATAAAGAGAGTATTAGATTTATTAATTAAACCTTTCAGGCCACACTTATATAATTATAGGTTTTTCAAAGATATCGGAGTGTGGATTTTTAGAAAATTTATTATACTTTCTTAATGAGCCTAAAGTTTTCTTTCTAAAAGTGTTTCTCTTAATTATAGTGGCATTAAATCTATAGAAACTATTTTATTCAGAAATAACAGAAATCATTATAGTTGTTCCGTAAAGATCTAGATAATTAAGTCCAGTACTGTTTTTGCTATAGTGAATGACATGAATATTTATTCGATATTCGTTCAATTTACTGTTAACGCTGATAACGTATATAACAATGTCAAGTAAAAGTGACGAATTGTTAAAACCAATATGTAGTAATGTAACAAATAACTTGAGGGTATGGTTTCAAAGAGCCTTCAATTCAAAGAAAACACAAAGAAAACATTTGCAATGGGGTTTTATAACAAACTGAAATTATGTAATAGTATTAACATTTACTACTCACATGAAAAAAATCTAATACAAGTTTTTAGGTATGCATACATACAAATACATAATGGAGAACTTATAAAAATTTAATTTCCAGAATAAATTCCATAATAGGTACTTAAAAATATCAAAATTTATAGCATTAACAACTGCTTAATTTATATTATGCAAAGTTGAATCACGGACCCGATACGAATTATCTTTTTGCGGTAATACTACCATGTCAGATCAAAAACAAAAATGCACCCCTTTCTCTAAAATGCACTCCTAAATTTAATAGCATTTTGCGATGTTATTATCTTTAGGCGTTGAGTTGAGTGAATGAGTGAAGTATATTAGGTGAACAACAAACGAAACAATAAAAACCCTTTGGCGCAATTGTTCCTTAACTTTCTCTCTTATATGTATATTTAGATTATCAGTCACGACCCACAGATATAAAAACCTAACAACTGTACTTATAGACTTTCAAGAGAAACCTGAAAACATATCAAAAAGACAAATGTTTTTAAGATTTTAAAACACATATTTTCATATACAATAATTTTAAATTTAATTGTATTGTTTAGGTGTACATATGAATTAATTTACTATTTATTGATTTATGTTCTGTATTTACTTTGTTTTGACTAATCTTATATAATAGTTATGTAATGCATTGTCTAAAAAGATAATAAAGGTTTATTCACTTACACTATTATTATTTATTATTAATTTTTTACACAAAACATGACTGCATTACGCAAACATAAGTACACTACTAGACAAAGCGTTTTTTTCGCGACATGTTTATAATAGATACATTGAGAGAGACCTCTAACAAACTAAACTGTAAGTGCATATGNCATACTATATAACAATAAGTATAAAAATATTTGTATACATATACTGGACAATTTATCATTTTAAAAATTAACCCATGTTTCGAACTAATTAAAAGAGGGTATATTATTAATCAAAAATTTTCGGAAAGATGTCAGGATATTACGACAATAGTTTGAGACCAGTTGCCGTTGCAGAACATTGTTTAAATAATCAAAGAAAACTCGAAAAACTGTTTTTTTGTGTTCAACTTTTGAACCGTTGCTACTACTGAAAAAAAGTTTAATATTATTTTATACGTATTAAAAATACCTACAAAATGAACTGCGCTGAATTAAAATTCGTTAATTAGTTTTCTTGCAAAACTCAAAAACAGAAAATTTTAGCGTTTTTTTTTCAATTTCAAAATATTTATTAGTTTTTGTCAAAGGCTATTTATTGTGTAAAAAATGCTCTTGGCAAATTCTAATTTCTATATCTTTGAGACGTCGCGCGTCGTCGAGACTTGTTCGAGGACTTTATTTTACCTCTACTACAACGTTCAATAAAGAAAAATTTGATTATTGAAGTGTAAAAATTTTCACATCAATTATTTAATAGCTACGATTTTTATGCAAATTTTGAGTCTACTCATTGCTCTACGATCCTCTGGAGCTGAGATATTTTTTATTTTTTTTTTTTCAAAAAATCATTGTGGCTTTGTTTATTAATATTAAGAGCTCAAATTTACAGGTAGTCTAGAGTTCAACTATCATATCTGACATTTAAACAACAATGAATGTGAATATTTAAGTTAAGTTATTAAAAAAAGCGGCAGCACAACCTCACTCTTTTAGCAATAACTTGAAAAAGAAAAAAGATCTTCGGTTTATGTATTTGTTTTCCATAGTGAATGGTCTATCATGCCCTGAAAAAAAAACCTATACCGTTGCATTTAATTTTTTTAGTAAACGGAGACAATTTCAAAACTTTTCTCATTAGCGTCGTCTACCGTTGCGCAGGAAAATAATATTTTTATTCCTATATCATAAAAATAAATTTTATTAATAGTTCTTTAAAATGAGCCATCGTTTAGAAAAATTTCAAGATAGCGTCCTTCATACTGACGTTGCTATAGTAATAACAAATAAAAAGTTCAAACAAAACTTGTAAAGGGTTTAACAGTGTATCTAAAAAATGTATTTTCAACTTAGGTTATATAAGCAAAATTTAGAAAAACCGAGAATTTTCTGTAACACTATAGCAGTTGCGCCCCCTAGCGGTGAAGTTACAAACTTGAAAATATTTTAAATCAATTTATTTCGGTCGCATTTGTTAATACATTTTTTACCCCATAATCGTAACACGTCTAGTTTCCTATATACACCAGCTCGATACCGTTAATGGATCACCCTGTATAGTATATTATTTAGTATTTTTAATTTTAAATTAGTATATGGTCTAGTATTTTCTTGTTGTCTTATTATGTAAAATCATAAAAATTCTTTAATCAACCAGATACTTGAACAGGTTAAAATACCTCATGTGAAAATGATATTCTACATAAGGACAGTTCGGAAAAATTTAAAACTAATATTTACAAATACTGTTATTTGGGATATGCTTTTGAGCACAATGTTAATAAATGCATGAAGGATAATGGCAATATTAAAAATGATGAGGAGTTGGCATTGCGAGAAAGAGCAGTTGATTTTATTATGAAACTATGGTGGATCAGATACTATTAAAAACTTCTGAAAACCTAAAATTATTAGAAATTATTTCTTTAATTTCTGTGGAAAATTATTTGAGTTACAATAAACCTAATTTTACTCCAATTTTTTAATATTAGAAAAAAACAGCAACTGAGATTTGTGAAATGGAAAATCAGTCGAATAAAATACATCTGTTAACGTGGACGAATTTAAAATATATTAATATAGTAATATATATATATAATATAATTAATTAATTTTGCTATTTCATTGCTAGTAATTCCACATTCAAATGCAGAAGTGGAGAGATTATTTAGTATGTGAATGTTGTAAAGACTAAAATAAGAAATCGAATGTCACCTGAAATGCTATCGTCAATTTTAATAATAATAATAAGGCCTTAAAAGACCGAATATGTATAGTGCAACGTACAAATTGCCTGATAGTTTAATGGACAAAGTTAAATCATTGGAAGCGTATAAAGTGTAATGTGGAAGATTTGGATTTTAATATTTATGTTTAGTTTTAGTTTTTCTTTGAAAATGTATCTATTATGTATTATATTATACAGTATATAGTTTATTTTTTATAAAATATAAACAAACTAGCAATTTAAAGAAAATTTATTTACAAATTCTATTCATTAACATGCAACACGCAACGCATCTTGAAACCTATTTGCTTTTTTATAGTTTAAATTTAATAACTTTTTCTTAGTATTTTGTAGTATCTACTGTAGTATAACAGTTCAAATTAACTCTGGTTCCAATATTTTTCCAATTATTGTAAATTAAATAATAGGTTTTAGTATATTTTGGTATTTTTTTTGTACCAGTTGGTATTTATTGCTAATCCAAAGTTGGCAACACTGCTCGGGTTGCGTTGCTTGTTGCTTTTATTTTATTGGTAAATTTGTAATTGACGGTTGAGTTGAGGTGCTAGTAACAGAAATATATATTTATTCTTTGTTTATTTACAATGTATAATGACAATAAAATTAAATTAATTCTATATAAAGCCCAAGAAAATGCCTCCTGCCATCAGAGATATTTAAAAAGTCTAGAGGCCTATTATAATCAGGTAATGTAACACAGAAATATCAAATAAGAAATAAATTGACTAATAAAAAAACAGGTTCCATTTGAAGCATTTGTGGAGGAATTCTTAAAACTTTTGAAACATATTTTTCACAAGTATATTACAACACGAAATCCATATGTCGAAAGAACCCTGGAATTTTTGGCACAATTTGTATCTTTCGTGACAAAATCTAATGAAAATGATACTACTTCACAAGATGAAGATTCCTCATCACATCCTTTTTTAACAGAAGTTATAGTTGAAACTTTAAAAGTTGGGTAACGTTTTGTTTTATAAATACTGTTATTAACATTTGTTTTCTTTTAGTTTCATGATTTGATATATGAACAAGCACGTTATTACTCTTGTCGGTTTGTAACTTTAATTCTTCAGCATGTTGGTAATGAAATACATCTGGATAACTTTATGTGTGATGCTATCCAAGAAGCAATGTTACAGCGTATCATGGTAATATAATGTGGTAATAAATGTATAAGAAATAATCTGTTTATTATAGGATCCAAAAATATCAATTCGTCTTCAAGCTGTAATGGCTTTAGTAAGATTACAAGAACCCTCAAATACAGAATGCCCTGTTGTAAAAGCGTACATCTCTTTATTGGTAGAGGCAAATCCATTGGTGAGTAATCTGTGTATCTATATAAGTATTATTTTTTTCTCTTTGTGGATTAAAAGTACAGTTTTAAGGTGGCCATATTCCCGGCCAAGAAATAGTGAAATTTCTGGCGTTTTTAGGTACTGAAATCTTTAAAAGTAAAACGTGTAGAACAAAAGTAAGCACAAAAATGAAATCCTTGACGTTTTGTTTATTCATTGTTACCATTTAAATTTACTCAAATAAAATAATAACTAAAAAAAAAGCGTTTGTAAAACATGCGTTATTCATGTTATTCTAACCCCACATTTTAAGAATTATTTTCACGTACTTATAAATAAAAGTAAACAATTTTATATGTAGGACTAAGCAAATAAATATTATAAGAATATTTACATGTGGAATTATATATAAAAAAGTTAGTATTTTCGTAGATTTCAGTACCTAAAACCTTGATGGTTTGATCGTTTTTTGCACCTGTTTATTCGTTTTACTGCGGCGTCTTTGAAAATACCCAGATGGCATGACATAACATTCCTATTATTTGATAAGCTTTAGATTATTCAGTTATTAAATGTTTGAAATTATATGTCTTTGCGGAAAACACTATTTAAAGAATATGGGGCCCTTAATGCTGAATTTTTAGATGTGTCAGTCCAACAAGAATTAACTTTTGCAATATTTTTAAGTCAATTTCTTTTGGCCATATTTGTTTTTAGCTCATAATCGTAGCATGTCTAGTTTCCTATGTACAGTCACCCTGTATCGTTAATGGATTACCCTATATTTACGATAAAATATTGGGACAGGAAAGTGAAGTAAAATTTTAAGACGTCCTAGAAGTCCTTATGGACGTAAGCGATAAGAACATAATCGACCTTTCTTAGGGTAATGAAAGCATATGTATTCGCCTATATTACACATAATTAGTACTGCGATATCCAGCATACATACCACAAAAAAAGCTGCTTGTAATGATATTTCTTTAGGTACATTGTTTTCGTGAGAAATTATTGAAATTACATTTTTGGCGCTTAACACCCTTTTGTGTGATCAACGACAATAAGTGTAATAGCTGTTTTACATTGACAATTTATTCATCAATAAATTGACGAAATTCTCCATCAATTAATTCACAAATTTATTGATAAACAGTGTGGTTTTACACTGCTACGGACTTTGTCAAGTTTTTTGACGCATGAATCCATTCTACCAATGAATCAAAGAAGCAAATAAATTTCAAAAATGTCACCTTTCCACTCTTAGGCTGGAAATCTGTTGGGTTGGTACTTCCGAACTTCACAAAGAAATTGACGAAAATTAGAACATGCTCTAATTCATCAAGATATTTGACAGCAGATTTGGTGCATTACACTTGTCAAATTTCTTGATGAAGCGACTTCATGAATTAATTCATCAATAAATTGTCAATGTAAAACAGCTATAAGATATGATATGAGATATTTGTTTCTTTTTGGAAATCAATTAAAACTGCATATTTATGACTGTTGGAATTTCTCTAATAACTAGCTTTTTTCCATCAACAAATAAAATTAATTTGTCAAATAAGGCTTCATATTTGTCAAATAATATAATTAATATTTTGAGGTATTAATATGTTCTTATTTACTGAAATTTTTTTTCTTCATTTTTGTATTTTTTATCCTTTAAAACTTTAAAAGTATTTTGAAAAATTTTATGAATTATGAGGAAGTAAAAGTAGTATATGATAATATATGATAGTGAATGAGTATTATAATTACGAGGGTACCTACCTATAAATCACATAAGACATAAGTATATGGCATGAAATGGAATTATTTCAATACCTTTGTTCCTAGACCAAAACATTATATGGGAATATAGGTGTTGTTGTTTCACTTTCACTATTTACACTTTATGTACTGAAATGTTCCCTTTACAAATGTGTGTAAATCTCTACTGCACTTTTGTTGCTGGTACACTGACGTATATTTTTTTCGACTTGGTGGAAGCTAGTGTGGAGAAAGAATAGTATATTGTGATGTTAGGAGAATAAGTGATACTTTATGTGCTAAGTGTGGAAAGTGCGAAGCACATAAAGTATCTTATTCTCCGAACATCATATACTATTTTTTCTTCAAACGTTATAAAATCTAGGTAAAATGGTTAAAAAACTAAGAGAATAACGAATTTTAAATGAAGGTTGTAACATTGAATCTTTAACTTATTTTACTGTACCATATATGTATAGGTACCTTTACGTATCGTTACCATAGATATTTGCTTCTATCAAAACAAATATTTAAAATTTGGCGTCACGTCAGTTGACAATGACAAAAAATATTGTCGTGAGTACTGATATGGAGGATTCTTAAATGATGCAAATCTTCACAATTGTACTTTTACTATAAATAATAAATAATAATATAAAAAAATAAATGTTCAATATTAAAATTGAATTCATAGTACTATAATGTGTTTATATTACTATAAGTAGTACTTTCTTACTTACTAGGCATATAAATGACAATTATATTATTGAGTAACGTCACATAAGTTGTCAGTTATATGGCATTTGATAAGGTGACCAACTGCTCAAAGTGATAATCCGGGACACTTTTATGAAACCAAAAAAAAATAAATTGTCAAACACGTTACTTAATTAAATTAGAGCACTAAAATAAAACTAGCTACGTAACAGGTGAAGATGTGTACCTGGCCTAGTATAGGTACTTTATTTAAATTTATATTTTGTTTGGCTCTTAACGCTTTTTCGTTTTGAAATAAATATCTATAAAACAGGTAAAATTATTATGACATCTTGTTATAATTATAGACTTTACTGTCTCTACATTAAATTCAGTTTCTGAGATTTATTTCAGGTTATATAGCGAATACTATTGAAAACGCCATTCCGGTACAAATCGGCACGAAACAAATAAATCCGGTACAATTCCGGGACACTATTTCCCGACACACGTTCTAAAAACTGGAACCTGTCCCGGCCAATCCGGTACGGTTGGTCACCTTGCATTTGAAGAAGAAAATATCTACCATGTTGTAAAAAATATGTTGTAATATTTCCATGGTTACCGTTTCAAATTTCATTAATGTTTGTTTTTATTGCAAAGATTTAATGCCTTTATGGTGTATGATGAACACTACTTTTAGTTGACAGCGTGCAAAAACATACTGTGTTAAAATATAATAATTTCATTGTTTTAAAATACGTATAAGTACTGAAATTGGTTTATTTTTCAGATCAGAAAAGAAGTTGTAAAAAGAATAGCTCCGAATTCTGTAACTATATCAAAAATAAGTGAACGCATTCGAGATGTTGACGGTCATGTACGTGTGGCCGCATACTCGCGTTGTGCGGATATTGGCCCACGGTTATTTAAAATTATTACAAGACAACAGATTTTACAGTGTGGATTTAATGATGACAGTGAACAAGTTAGAACAGTTTTTTTAGAAAAATTATTTCCAAAATGGCTTAGCGCCTATAATGATAATTTCCTTGAATTTCTTAGGAGCTTAAAACTTGATGCAGACGAAAATGATATTATAAATACTCAGAAAATTAGTGAAAAGGTCATGGAAGTTTTTTTTAGGTAAGTTATAAATCTACAGGGCAATTGTTTCAAGTGACAGTTCCTATTTCTTTTTTAATTGTTTATTCAAGTTTGCCGAATAATTTGGTATATACACATATTTCTCCGTTAGTATACAGGTTGTTCCAATTAAAACTTGCGGTAGGGGTGTGGATTACCCTTAAACTTTAAATGGCACCGTATGTTGAGTGACGTTTAATTTTAAAGCTTTTTCAATTCCACTCGCAACGACATACAACTTTTTAAATTTCGGTTTGGATATGACAATAAAATAACATTCTTCCATTCATTGATATTTTCTCTCAATCTTTAAGTGATGATTTTATTAAGTCTTCAAATTGGTTTCCCTCCACTTCCGTGCATTAATAACATCTTTGGTTAACTTCCGAACGAATATTTTGAAACATTTTGGGCGTTATCTGACGATATTTTTCAACAATTCGCTTCTCAAGTGAGTTCGGTCGTGTTGCATAAATTTTTGACTTTAAGTGCCCCAGTAGAAAAAAGTCTAAGGGCATTAGATTTAGCAATCTGGGAGACCACTCAATTGATGTGAACTTTTCACACTGAAGAAGAGCAGAATTATTACGAAAATCCCGATAAAAAGTTATTGCAAAAATTGCTGGTATTCAAAAAAGAAATGCAGAAAATTAATTAAACTGAAACAAGAAATTAACAAGATTGACCCGAAAGAAGATCATACTGTCAAATTGCTCGAGGTAAAATCAATCAGTAAAATTCTTTTGTCATTCATTCTCTAAAGACTATCTGCCTCGACCTATAGCACGAATTTACAGAATTCTCAAGGATTTTCTTCCTGGACACTGGAGCCAAATCTTTTATAGCTGGAGTAGCCCTCAGACCAATTTTACTCCAAAAAGACTAAAGCGGGACAGAGTAGTGTTCAAAGTTATCCTTCAATACAAAGTAATACCTATCACATTTTTCTATTTCTGACCATGAAAAGAGCCCAACTTTATTGGGCATAGATTTTATCAAGAAATTAATGTAGTAATAAAAGTAGTTAGATCTAACCTCGAATCTATGGTTTCTTAAAGATGAATCTGAAATTTATGAAAATCTACCTATGTATACTCGTATACGTACCTTTTTCTGTATTATTACACCTATTTTATTTTTTGATTACAAATATTTCTTTCTTGGCTTTTCATTAGTATTAGCAACATAAATTTGGGGACAAGTAAAATAGGTAACAAATTTCATAAACAAATAATTTTTCACTTCTAGTTTAACTTCAAGCAATTACAATTTTTTAAGTTTAAATGTGACACCCTTATTTTTTTGCCCATTTTGGGTTTAAATTACATAGTCAAAAGTTATAGTAAATTACATAGGTAAAATTGATTTAATGAATCAAAATTTTTTCGTCAAAATACAGTAAAGCTCGGTTATAACGTACCGGCGGGGACTTAAAAAAATCGGTACGTTATATTAGAAGTACGTTTTAAAAAAAATTATTAAAATTTTTATTGATTCTTAACAAAAGTACAAACATACATATATTTAACAAACGCAGCAATAGAATAACAGTATATATGGATATATGGATTTGTTCTTAAAACTTAAAAGCAAAACTAAAAGTAGTTTTTATTTGCACCACAAAATAGGTATGTATGTATAATAAAATACCTAAAACTACTTTATAAAAAAGTCTGTTATATGAGTTTGTTTTTTTTCGATTTATAAGGATCTGTTGCTCTAAATACATTTCTATTTCCAGCGATGCGCTTAAAATACGATCTTCAGTATTAATTTTACTTTCTAAAAATCGTTTTACTTTTTTTTATTCCTCTAATTGCGTCATCAAACGTTACGGGCGTTTCTTCTTCCGGTTCTTCTTCATCTTCTTCTCCACTATCAACCTGCTCATCTTCGTTAATTTGGTCAACAATATCCTGCTCTGTAGGCAAATTTGTTGTAACAAGCTCTTTATCCACGTCAACGAAAGCGTCAATCACAGTTGGATTTAATTTTTCTAAGTTAAAATTATTTTTATTTATCCATACACTTAAAGGTAAGTTATCGTCATCCTCTTCATTAACAACTTGTTGAATAAGCCATTGGTTAAGAGGTAAATCATCGTCCTCGTCGAACTCGCAAAGAGAGGGCCATGCATGTTTGAAACAATTTTTAATTGTTTTTTGGGCAACCTGTTGCCACGGTTTTGCAACCATTTCAATAGCATAAAGCAAAGTTATTGTTATTGGTGTGCTATTTTCGATGCACTTAAGATTACTGGTCATAAGCAGTCGCCGATAATGAACTTTCAAACTGTGGATAACACCTTGATCCATTGGTTGCAGGACAGATGTAAAATTTGGTGGGAAAAATGCCAGTTCAATATTGGTCAAATTGGAAACGTGAGGATGAGCAGGACAATTATCAACAAGCAATAATATCCGCCTGTTTTCTTTTACCAATTGTTTGTTCCAAGATCTTAGCTCACTTCAAAAAATATTTGCAGTCATCCATGCGCGCTTGTTTGCCGTATAATTAACCGGCAATTTTTTTACATTTTTAAAACATCTGGGCCTATTAAATTTACCAATAACTAAGAGTTTACGTTTTTCTGTCCCGGTCATATTTGCACATACAAGAGCCGTTATTCTTTCCTTAGAAAGTTTCCCTCCAACACATTTTTGACCTTTAAAGCTCATTGTATGATCTGGAGCAAGTTTATAAAAAAGACCCAAGTTCATCAGCATTAAAAACATCACTCTTGCCGTAGTTCATAAGTAGTGGAACTAATGTTGATTTAACCCAATCCAACGCATTTTCCATGTTCACACTTGCAGCTTCCCCATGGATTTTACTGGAACTTATATTGTGCCGCTTTTTGAACCTATGTAACCAACCCGAATCACAAGAGAATCCATCAGCATTAAGTAACTTTGCAAACTCTTGGGCCTTTGCCTGAAGAATGGGCCCACATATTGTAGTATTCAAACTTCTTTGATACGTAAACCACTGAAGTAATGCCTCATCGATGTTTTTTTGGACGGGTTTGCGAATTCTTTTACTTTCTTTATAAATTCCGCGGGAATCCAATATTTTATGTTTGTTTTTCAATATTGTGGACACTGTTGTTTTTTTCATACATCTAGATTTGCAGATGTCAGCTTGTTTAACACCTCTTTCTATTTCCTGAATTATAGAAATTTTTTCATCTATTGTTAAAGCCTTCCGAGCCATTTTACTAGAACTAGCTTGCGTTGAATCATCCATACTTGACAGTATTCAAAAATTCGCTTACTCTTAGATACGTACTATACGATGTCAACAAGGAAACTGAATAAAGAATGGTTAAAATAACTACACAACTGCATTGTATCAACATGTGTTGGGAGAAAAAATCTTAAACAAATAAACAATATCGGGCAGCTAGTCGGCGAAAACTTATTTCAGCCTGGTCAAAACGGCTGCCTTTGATTTAGATATCGCCGCCGCCGAGCTACACGTGCCCTGAGCTTTTGCCATACTTGCCGAAATAAATTATGTATAAAAAGTACGTTATAATGAAATTTTTAGATGTTGGGACCAGATATTTTGGTACTTTATATCAGAAGTACGTAATAACGGAGTACGTTTTAACAAAACATTTAACCATTGAAGGCCCTATAATAATGTCGGGACTTGCTTATTCGGTACGTTATAACCGTAAGTACGTAATAAGCGTGTACGTTGTAACCGAGCTTTACTGTACGTATAAAATAGTCTTATTGTGCTGGTTCTCACGTTTATCTCAACCTTCGGACCCGTGCTCAAGCGAGAATTTGAAGATTTTCCGTGTTTTTGGGGTAGTTTTTCGCGATTTAAAAAAAAACTGGAGGGTGATGGAGTAATTTTGTCTCTGGATTCGATTTCAGCGCGTCAAAATACATAAGGATAGGTGGGTCAAGTCTCTGGTATTTTCAACTTTTTTTTTTGGGGGTCTATAATCAAAACCGATTAATACATATTCGAGTTATTTACAAAATTCAAAAAAATTTCACGAATTTTGAGGCCATCTAGCGGCTAAACGAAGCGATTTCGAATATAGGAGAATTAACCTAAATCTGCCTATTTTGAGTCCATGAGTCTGTGGTCTTCCGTTGTACACATTATTCTGGGACACCCTGTATATACTATAATATGCATATTAATAGATTTTCATCAAATACAGCAGAATTATTTCTTTTCTTGAATCTTATAATGACATTTCAAAACATTTTCAGAATAAACTATATAAAGAAGTACCCAGTAATTTACATGTATATGAACCAACATCTGTATATTTATATCAGATGTAGGTTTGAAAAAATTTCATGACCTTACCAGCCGTTACGCCATGCTTGGCACTTTTTGCCTGCTAATTTACACTACCCTCCACTTTAACAATCACAAACATCCATGGGTACGATAGGAAAATTCCTTTGAATTTTCCATCCACGTGTGGGATTCGAACCCACTACGGTTTTGCCGTACAGCCCTGGTCCGCCTCAGTTGGCAGGCCTTGGCCGCTTCGGCTACCATTGCCAAAGTTTAACTCAGAATATATTATTATGTAATTTGGTGATATTGGTAGCGGTGTATTTATTATTTTAATATTTATTTATTTTTATTATATTATAATTATTATTTAATTTGGTGATTAATTTTGTTTCTGGTGTGTAAATTTTGTGTGTGTATAAGAATTAATTATCCGTTTGGGCGCCTTTTTTTTATGTAAAATGTCATTTGGGTGTATTTATATCTAATTTTCCATTGAGTGTAGGTTCTGATAAGAAATTTTAATAATAATAATGACAAACATAGACGAACTAGACTTTCTTACCTTATCATTGCTAACATCGCCTCCGGCAGCTTTACTTTGTATAAATAATGTTCACAGTGTAGACAGGATTTTATTAGTGTAGATAGGAATGTTCATTTTCTACACTGTCCCTCAAGAAAAAACACTTTATTTTATCAATAGCATGAGTCCTTACCTCATAGGGGCGGTTCTATGCTCTTTTAATTAACCTTTACTATTTAATTTTGGGTAAGAAACATTGAATAAAAGCAAAATTGGAAATATTTACACAAGATGACATTTATTACTTATTTATCTTTCAATTTCGAACAATATTTTTATGAACACAGAAACTAGAATATTTTTTTATATACTTTTACATGAATAATTGTCTGAGAAATGCCTTATTCTACCTATCATAATTGAGAAAATGTTTGGTTAACCAATTATCATTATTTTAAACGTTTTTCAAAACAAATCAACTTATACTACGAACATTTGAAATTAAACTAATACTTAAATTATAGAATGTTCAAAAATGTCAATTTAAATTTTAATCACTGACATTGTTTATAGTTTGTAACGGGTTTTGTATTTCACAAATAGCTTTTATAGTTCGAATTTGCAACACTTTATGGCATGGAGAAAACTCTTATGCAACTGGACTTACTTGGTTTCGTTCTGGCTGGCAATTTGCGGTCGTCTCTATAACCTCACTTTATTGTTGTCGTTTTCTGCTATTCTCGTGCGTTGAAGATGGCTGTTGGGTCTGTGTAGAGTGCTTCCTGGTGTTTTTGATGTTGTTTGGGGAGCCACAGGACAACATGCACCCCTCACCAGTCTCTAGAATCTCCTTCCGCCTCTCTCTCAGCTTGTTGACTTCTCTCGATGTTTTTTTGTTTTTCCGGTACCAGGTAAATTCACTGATTTGTTCTTTCGCCATTGGTTGCTCGTATCCCTGTTATCATTTTCTAACTGCGCAATTTCTCCAGCATGTTGCGATGAATTTGATTTTAATTAACTTACGGCGTAATTTATATTTTATAACTGCGTAGTAGATTTTATACGTCTTAATACTAATTTACAAGAAATTTTTATATGATATTTTGCATGACAAATTTTTTATAAGAAACTTCTAGCCTATGTGTTTCTGATGTTATAATATTTGAACTTTCTTTTGTACTAGATTATTTAACATTAATTTACTCATAAAATCTCTAAATTGGCCCTTCTTGTGGCATTGTCTTTTACTTTAATGCTTCTACTTCGTACCCAAAATTTATTTTCTTGACATGCTTATCATTAAAACGTATTATTTAAAATTTTGACCGATAATGTTTTAGGTTTATATGAAATAACTATGAAATGAGCTTTTTATTTTACTTTAAAAGTACTTTGTCTTTATTTTATTCTACATTATAATTTCATGAAAATTTTCTATGCTATTTCTCGGTGTTGTGTCTTGAGATACAGTGTGTTCATTTCAATATTTACTGATAAGAAGAGATGAGAAGGTCACCCTTTAATGCATTGTTTTTTTAGCATTTCTACTATTAAAAACATAATTGACGTGTTGCCTATACATAATGAGAAGTTAGTACCACTGAACAATTTGACTAGTGAGGTTGTGGCATATTGGTGTATTGTTACGAGATTTTTAAGAAATTGTCCCGAAACAGAGGATTATCTGGATAGTATCCTACCTGAGTTAACTCCATTTTGTTGCTATATAGAAAGGTAAGCAAATAAATTTTAATAAATTAATATCATACCAATATTACTATGAAGTTAGATTTTTTACTGTGTGGAATTAGGATTAGAATTAATAACAGCTTTTATTTGTGAAACGATTAGGAGTAAAAGAAAAGCCAAATTCGAAATAAATGTGCATGATTTTTTAATAGAAAACTAGTTAAGAACCGTTGACTACACAGTGGTGTAGGAAGAAAGAATTTAAAATAATAAGCACTTTTTAGAAGATATATAAAAGAAATTTTGCAGTAAATATGATTATAGGCTCCTCTTCCTTCCCGTCTATCTGTCATTCATATCTAGTTTACTGTTGTAGTCCTGGAGGCTGCCATCCCTAAAATGAATAATTGAACGTCCAAACGCGGGCTTAAGTATGGGGTAGTATATTTATGTGCGAGGATGTACCTATCGCAAGAGGGGGGGTGCGCAAAGCAAACCTCCGATCGTCAAACTATCAAAAATAAGCTGCAAAATATTTATTTGAAACGCATTAAGCATTTTAACGTAGGATCTTATGGAAAAGGAAATATTTAAATACAGAGCAAATCCTGCCAAAATTCACTTTTTACTCACTGTTGATACTGTTCAGTTCTTATTGTGTTCTCGTGTTTTAAAAAGTTTTAATATTTTTGTGAAATATCTGGAGCTTAGCTTACAAAATCTAGCCTTACCTAGAAATATATTTATTACTTTATTCTGCACCTACGGTCGCATTTGCTGATCCTTATTTTCTTTATCGGTAATTTTTTTTTCTTGTAAGTCGGTGTGCTTCTAGGAGGGACATTATTACCCTATTACACACCTACATTACAGGGAGAATTTGAAGCTGATTGTTCATTTTGTATGTCCATATTTTATTTCTCTTCGGGATTTATTGTCATGCATAATTCGTCGCTCGAAAGCAATAATAATAATTTAATAATTTATTGTCCGTTAAGACAATATTACAATTGTATAGGAATAGTCAATACAGATATAGGTTATAGAGACAACAAAACCAATAAAAATAAAAATATAGGCAACACCCATAAAAGTCAGTACAGTTTACATTCAATGGATATACATTATAAGAATTACTATAACTACTACATACAATTATTTTAAAATTCAAGATAGCTTCCATAAAAGTCACACAGATTACATATAATCAGAAAGGGAATAAAAAGACTTTTATCATGTAAATAGTTTTTCAAATCTCTCTTGAAATGGTGAAATAAGCAAGACTTTATATGTTCAGGCAGCCTGTCAAATATTTTTAGTCCAATGTATTTAGGTGAATTTTTTATTAAATTTATTCTAGTAAATGGCAAGTGAAAGTGATGTTTTTGATGTGTGTTATAAAAATGAGTATCCTCATTTAAATTAAATATACCTGCATTATTAAATACATGTCTCAAGAATGTACAGGGAGGTTTTTTGAAAAATGGCTTACAGGATTCTTTTAAGGCTGCTATGCGTCGAATGATTCGCTTTTGCGCAGTAAACACTTTTCATTCATAAAAATATATATTAGCTTCATCAAAATGATCCAAATTGTAAATATAAGACCAATCCACTTCATTTAATATAGTTTCAAAATTTATAATATATTCAGTAAAAGATCTTTTACAATATTTATAACTTTCAGATTCGATTTTTTTATTACTAATTTATAAATTTTCTATGGTCCGATATTGCAACGCAGATCAGTGTATTTGTAGGACTGAGTTTTATTACTCTCTTCAACAATTAGACCAGGCGGTATCTGTTTTGGTTTGGGTGAATCATATATCCACGGAGATTTTTGGCTTTTTGGCTTTCAAATATCACTAGAAATGAAAATTTTTCTATGCGCATAAAAAAAACGTGGGCTTAACTTTTGGCGGCACAATATGTTAAAAAAATTCGAAAAATGTCATATTTTTCTTCCTATTT